ATAAACAGTATTAACAAACATTTACCAGCCCGAACGTCTTAGACATCTCAAAGAAAATATGTCCTCCGACAGGAACTGAACCTATATCCTACAAAGAACCGTCATATAGCCTGACGTGCTATACCATTTAGCTACAGTGGAAGCGTTTGGTTAGCAAGTTTAAATTTTTAGGTTAAGTTTTTGAACTACAAACTTTCCAGGATTTCTCTCGAACGTTCGTAGCTGCTCGAAGCGTATCTTAACGTAAACAAATGACATTATATAATATAAAATCGTTAAATTTTAATATATTTATTTTTATACGTTATTTTTATAGATACAAATATTTAAGTAAAATACTTTTTTTATTATAAACAGCGTATTTATTAAATATAAGTATCTATAAAAATAACGTATAAACAAAAAATATATTAAATTATCGTACTTAGTCCATTTCAATATATATATATATATATATATATATATATATATATATATATATCGAAAAACGATATAAAATTATTTTATATCTCAAAACAATATTAAGTTCATCCAGTACCGCAATTATTTCTGATTCCAACCGAAACGAAACGCTGGAAAATATTTTTAAAAAATAAAATCAAAATATATTGTTCTACCGACTAACTGTATTACAAATTGAAAATAATTTATTTAAAGTTAACCTAAAATTTATTAAAGCTATTTCTAAAACGATAAATTAGTTAACCAACGAAAAAAATAAGTTCAAGCTTGAAGGAGGAATTTATTTTATCACCTGTAATGATTGCTACAAGGAATACATAGGAGAAACTTCAAGTAATTTAAATAAAATATGATATGAACACAAATATTTAAAACAGCACATTAACAGCATTAGTTACTGTAATGGGTCTCACCATAATTTTGATTAAAAAAATGTTGTTCTAAAAAAAAAACAATTTATTAAGAAGAGAGTGTATAGAAAGTGCTCTAATCCCTAGATCACCCACAATAAACGTTCACTATAATTTTGATTAAAAAAATGTTGTTCTAAAAAAAAAAAAACAATTTATTAAGAAGAGAGTGTATAGAAAGTGCTCTAATCGCTAGATCACCCACAATAAACGTTCAGGTCCATACAACCTTTTCCTTTTCTTGGTAGATCTTCTGTTATCACAATGTTTGATAAGAAAAGTGATAAAAACATACGCAAAAAGTAAAATAACTAAATGAAATCGGTTAGTCTATATACACAAATAGATATTTAAAAAAAAATGAAATAGGAATTGAAATAAAAAACATCAGTGATTCCCTCTCCTTCATGCGTATATGTAATCAATGTAAACATCATTTTAGTCTGATGAAATGATAAAATGCTAGAGTCCCAAATCTCATCCACTAGGGCACAGATTTAACTATAACACACACACACACACACACACACACACACACACACACACACAGATATATATATATATATGTAGGACATCCTCATCAGAGAATGTAATAGGAAGAAGGACGTGAAAAGTCGGCTATTTTTAATTTATTTTGTCTTTGATTGGTTAAGTAGACCTTGGGTCCATCAGTCCACCGTAATGAATAGATATATATGACAGGATAAGAAGCAAATAGGAAACATTTGTAGATGTAAGATGTTTCACTTTTATGAATTCTTCACCAGAGAATGAAATATGGAGGAGGAAGCGAAATTCAGTTATTTTTTTTAATTTTTTTTGCCTTTCATTGTTTTCGTAGAACTCCCGTTCACCAATCTTTGTCAAGCAGCATCGTATTTATAATTCATGTGTATATATGTATCATAATTCTGGTTTGTCTATGGCGGATTATAATGTCCATTCGTTTTTGTTAGATTTCTAGATGTTTTCGAGTTTGTTCCTTATCCCATTATTCAGTCGGATTCTAATTCATATTTGACCTACATTTGATACCAATTCATATATATATATATATATACACCCACACACCTTTTTATCCTTTTCTCTTTATATATATATATATATATATATATATATATATATATATATCAATGTATCTTTCTTTCTATCTATCTATCTATCTATCTATCTATCTATATATATATATATATATATATATATATATATATATATATATATATATGAAAAAAAAAATATAGGAAAAGCTTGAATTTAGTGTTTCAAAAAATTCTGATGAAGCTTAAATAAAATCGAAACATGTCAAATTTGTAAACGTTTCCTATTTGTTCTTTATTCTGTCGGTTTTGTTCCGTATCTGTCATGGTGCAGGTTAGGACCAAGGAAGAACAACACGAACACAATAGTAGAAATAACGAAGGTATATTACACGAAATAATAATGCAAGATGTGGGAGGTGTTAGTATGACTGTCAGTCTGGTTTGGAGTGAACTACTATCGGCTCGACACGATTCGGTATCTAGCCACCCCCCCACGAGGGTTGCATGTGGCACAAGGCCAAGTTTAACGTGGGTTTCCCAAGCCCGTAGGCTCAGCCAAAAATATGCCCGTATAACTCGTAAAGACGAGATCAGGTAGGTCATTCACCCCGAACGAGATTCTGCCCTTCGGCGGAACCTCGTCCGGGTTCCTTTCTGCTCAAAAGCAGAGTTCGACCGTCAAGTCGAGAAGCTCGGCTTGAATCGGTATCTAGCCACCCCCCACGAGGGTTGCATGTGACACAAGGTCATTTTTATCGTGGGTTTCCTGAGCCCGTAGGCTCAGCCAAAAAAATGCCCGTATGACTCGTAAAAACGAGATCAGGTAGGTCATTCACCCCGAACGAGATTCTGCCCTTCGGCGGAACCTCGTCCGGATTCCTTTCTGCTCAAAAGCAGAGAGTTCGACCGTCAAGTCGAGAAGCTCGGCTTGAATCAGTATCTAGCCACCCCGCCACGAGGGTTGCATGCGACACAAGGTCATTTTTGCCCGTATAACTCGTAAAAACGAGATCGTGGGTTTCCCCTGAACGAGATTCTGAGCCCGTAGGCTCAGCCAAAAATATGCCCGTATAATTCGTAAAAAAACGAGATCAGGTGGGTCATTCACCCCGAACGAGATTCTGCCCTTCGGCGGAACCTCGTCCGGGTTCCTTTCTGCTCAGAGGCAGAGAGTTCGACCGTCAAGTCGAGAAGCTCGGCTTGAATCAGTATCTAGCCACCCCCCACGAGGGTTGCATGCGACACAAGGTCATTTTTATCGTGGGTTTCCTGAGCCCGTAGGCTCAGCCAAAAATATGCCCGTATGACTCGTAAAAAACGAGATCGGGTAGGTCATTTACCCCGAACGAGATTCTGCCCTTCGGCGGAACCTCGTCCGGGTTCCTTTCTGCTCAGAGGCAGAGAGTTCGACCGTCAAGTCGAGAAGCTCGGCTTGAATCAGTATCTAGCCACCCACGAGGGGTTGCATGCGACACAAGGTCATTTTATCATTAGGTTTCCTGAGCCCGTAGGCTCAGCCAAAAATGCCCGTATGACTCGTAAAAAACGAGATCGGGTAGGTCATTTACCCCGAACGAGATTCTGCCCTTCGGCGGAACCTCGTCCGTTCCTTTCTGCTCAGAGGCAGAGAGTTCGACCGTCAAGTCGAGAAGCTCGGCTTGAATCAGTATCTAGCCACCCCACCACGAGGGTTGCATGCGACACAAGGTCATTTTTTATCGTGGGTTTCTGAGCCCGTAGGCTCAGCCAAAAATATGCCCGTATGACTCGTAAAAAACGAGATCGGGTAGGTCATTTACCCCGAACGAGATTCTGCCCTTCGGCGGAACCTCGTCCGGGTTCCTTTCTGCTCAGAGGCAGAGAGTTCGACCGTCAAGTCGAGAAGCTCGGCTTGAATCGACCCTTTCTCTTGAGAGGCGTAGTATACATAGTGTTATGAAGAGTTCATTCTGTAGTTATAGGTAAGGACCCATGACAGTATCTTATTTTAATTCATGTATTGATAGTAAATGTTCCATAAGGACATATATGTATGTTCTCTGTGTCCAAAAAACAAAACACTTCGAACACAAGAAAAATTATATAAAAACCTTAATCGTAATACCTTGTCTGTTGTCTTTAATTAAACCTATATATATATATATATATATATATATATATATATATATATATATATATATGATGAATGTATGTATGTATGAATGTATGTACAGACTCTATTAATGACGACAAATAGGTAGGTGAAAAATAAATGATAAATTTATATGTATATATATATATATATATATATATATATATATATATATATAAAAAAGACAGCTAACTTCATCCTCAAAAATAACAACACACCAGTTAAGTCAAAATTACAAAGAACGAACATTATCTATGAGTTCACATGTGTAGAAGAGACTTGAAGCAACAGAAATATGGTTCTACAGAAGGATGCTGAGAATTCCATAGATGGAGCGCTTAAACAACGATGAAGTCTTATAGAAAATGAAAACAAAAAGGAAAACATTTTTTTACAATCAGAAAGAGACAGGTTAAATTTCTTGGATACATAATGGGGAAGGAATTTGACATTCAAGGGATATATTGAAGGAAAAAGTGACAGTAGATGGCAGCAAGTTACCCACCCGATGAAACTGTGTGAATTGATGGCGAAACGGTGTGTTAGTCAACTTAGCAAAGGGATGCTAAAGTCTACAATGGAGAGTCATGATCGGCGACGTCCTGAAGAAACAGAGCAAACAGGAGAAATGCAACCACTGAACGTTTTCTGTTCCTATCTAATTTGCTTACAACTGATTTTCCTTTAAAATCAATCAATGTTTTTTTTTGTGGATGCGGGGTGGGGGCAGGAAATGCGTACTCGTAAGAAGGAATCAATAATAATAATAATGATACAATTAAAGAGCTTTTGTCATGTTTTGTAAAGCACTGGTCTCTTGCTAAAATACGTTGCGTCTTTTATGCAATGGAGTCTCTTCACTCCGAAAGCTGATTCCAACCAATATATATAATTCTTGAAGATCTTCGGGAGATAGATAGATAGATATAGATAGATAGATAGATAGATAGAAAAGCTTTAGATAGATACATAGCTAGAAACAGCTTTAGATAGATAGATAGATAGATAGATAGATAGATAGATAGATAGATAGATAGATAGAAAAGCTTTAGATAGATACATAGCTAGAAACAGCTTTAGATAGATAGATAGATAGATAGATAGATAGATAGATAGATAGATAGAAACAGCTTTAGATAGATAGATACCTCGAAGTAAAAATATTTATTATTTAATGAAAATAGTATGAAGCTGAACAAAGATTTGGAATAGATAAAATAAACACATATAGATAGATAGATAGCTAGAGAGATAGATAGACAAACACAGATGCCGGAATAGATAGACAGACAGATACGGAGGCCGGAATAGATAGATAGATAGATAGATAGATAGATAGATAGATAGATAGATAGATAAAAGCAGGTTTAGATAAATAGATATAAACAGGTTAAGAGTGACAGATAAAAACAAATTCAGATAGATATAAACATGCTCGAACAGATAGATAATAGATAGATAGATAGATAGATAGATGAAGGGACTGAGATAGATAGATAGATAGATAGATAGATAGATAGATAGATAGATAGATAGATAGATAGATAAAAGCAGGTTTAGATAAATAGATATAAACAGGTTAAGAGTGACAGATAAAAACAAATTCAGATAGATATAAACATGCTCAGATAGATAGATAGATAGATAGATAGATAGATGGATGAAGGGACTGAGATAGATAGATAGATAGATAGATAGATAGATAGATAGATAGATAGATAGATAGATAAAAAGTGATTGAGACGGAGGGATAGTTACGTGGAGAGATGGTATGTCTTTGTATTAACGTAGTAAAAATCCTCTGACGATA